GGGGGGGCGGTGTCAAACGACACTTGGGAATTTTATATACAGTAATCAAAATTCTAAGAATAATATTACATGGATTTAAATATTATACTTAAAAATTAGACTTGATAATCATAACTATTGAATAGATATAATATCCTAAAAAATATTGGGATCCATAGTGAAATCAATAATTATAATTATCAAGTCTCAAATTTAATTTTTAATCCATATAGCATTACTCAAATCGCAAACCTCTTAAGTTCAAGAATCCGAAGATTCCGAACTACCCAAACAAACTCAACAAACTCAAAGTTGAATTACTTGTATAGTTCCAATGCCAGATTAAGTTGGATGGGTCAAGTCCAAAGGGTTTAGCTCAAATTATAAGTCCGGTATAANACTATGAACCAAACTGAAATTTCTGCTACATATGCTCCAAACTAGTTTTCTAGTTAAGTATGTTGGTCATATTTGCTTTTGGCGCACTGCTGCGGACCGAAAAGGGGAAAAAAAAAAAGAATAAATAGCTAGGTACACGTACACATAGTATTGTACCGTAGAAAATCCAAAATTCATAAGTTACATGGTGTCTCTAGCTTACTCCTGAGAAAGAGAGGCGGGGGAGGGGGGGCGGTGTCAAACGACACTTGGGAATTTTATATACAGTAATCAAAATTCTAAGAATAATATTACATGGATTTAAATATTATACTTAAAAATTAGACTTGATAATCATAACTATTGAATAGATATAATATCCTAAAAAATATTGGGATCCATAGTGAAATCAATAATTATAATTATCAAGTCTCAAATTTAATTTTTAATCCATATAGCATTACTCAAATCGCAAACCTCTTAAGTTCAAGAATCCGAAGATTCCGAACTACCCAAACAAACTCAACAAACTCAAAGTTGAATTACTTGTATAGTTCCAATGCCAGATTAAGTTGGATGGGTCAAGTCCAAAGGGTTTAGCTCAAATTATAAGTCCGGTATAACTCATCTTCAAGAGATCCAGTTTGTCCAGTTCAATGTTATCAACTTGAATAAGCTCAGCAAGATCAAGGAGTTATATCAATAGAGAAGCATGCAAGGTCATCCAAAAGCCTCTTATACCACCTTGGAGTAAGGGTCATTCAAGAGCCTCCTCATCTACCACCTTGGAGTATAGGTCATTCAAGAGCCTCCTCTACCACCTTGGAGTAAGGGTCATCCAAGAGTCTCTTTTATCACCTTGGAATAAGGATTATCCAAGAGCCTCCTCCTCGCCACCTTAGAGTAAGAGTCATTCCAAGAGCCTCTTCCTTGTGGCCTGGAGAGAGTCAACATTCTCTTATCCTTTGACCAAGTCATTTGGAGAGCATCATGACTTCCTTGCCAGTTGAGGAGAGGAGAGGAGATGAGAGGTCGTCAAACTATTTAATTACTATCAAAGTCACTTCAATCCGTTATGACCGTCATATTAGCTACTCAATTACTATATTAACCCACTATAAATTGAAAGTCTCACCAACACTTGGGGGCATCCTCACTCATTTGAGCACTCTTTTCTAATCTTTTTTTTCAAAACTTGTAACTCTTTACTCTCTCTACACACTAGAGTTAATAAAAATACTGACGACCCTTGCCATTTAAAGTGGATATAGGTCATATTGACCGAACCACTATAAATCTTGTTTTATCTCTCCCTCTACTTTAATGCATTTTATGTTACTTAATTAATAGATGGTGTGCAAACCAATTTTATGCATCATCAAAGTTGACTATGTTGTGTCTAGCAAGGTTCGACAATCTGACCTCTTATTTAAGTTTATGAAAATTAATTGGGTCTAGTTTTTTTCTTTGAAGAGGGAAAATTTTTGTCACACTCATTCTAATTTATTATATCTTCAAAGACATCCTCCTTAATTTATAAATCTTCATTGACACCCCTGTCAAATTAAAAGTTTTATTTAGAATATAATTTTACTAAATTTTTTATGATATATTTTAAGAAAAACTTCATCCACACCCCCCTGTAGATAAATATATTTTTTTCAATGAGACATACTCCGTTTTATGAATTTTTTTACGTATTAAAATTCGAAACTATTAAAATTCGATTTGAAAATTCGGAACTATTAAAATTCGATTTGAGCCAATTATCGAATCAAAATTTAATTGGCCTGAATTTTGATATGTAAAACAATATAAATTGTAATCGACTCAAATTTTAATATGTAAAAAAATGAATTCTAATCGATTCAAAATGAATTTTAATCGATGCTAACAACTCAAGTTGAGTTCAAATCGATTAGAATTTTAATATGTAAAAAACAAATTAATAGGCTTGAATTTTAATACGTAAAAAATAAAATTTAATTAGCTCAAATTTTAATATATTGAAAAATAAATTTTAATAAGATCAAATATTAATATGTAAAAAAATAAATTTTAATCAAATTTTATGTAGAAAGATTGTTTAGGTTTATGTAGGGATAATTTTAGTATTTTAGATTAATTTTTTCTGTTAGAAATTGTATTTAACGAAAAGAGGTGTTAGTGATATTTAAATATAAATTAGAGGAGTATCAATGATTTTTTGAATAATAGAGAGAATGCCTTAAAGATATAATAAATTAGAGGGAGTGTTACTGAAATTTTTTTATCTTTGGAGATTATGCCAACTATTAGGTCAAGTTAGGGGCGGAGCTACTCAGGTCTTAGAGAGGGCATCCCCCTCAACTTTTATTTTTATTTTTTTTTGCAATTTTTTTATAGGTTTTAATGTATTTATTTTTTGTATATTTGATTTAAATTTTGTTTACTCTCAATTAAGTCAACTTAATAATATTAGTTAGTCGTGTGGCTCAAAAGGTGTTGAAGAAACTATATTTGGCATCTTCTCTTTCTCGTTGTTGTTAATTTATTTTTATAATATAAAAAATAGTCAATAGCAATTACAAATAAAATGTTTCTTACTATAACTTAAGCGTCAATAATTTAAGTCGCGAAAACACCGTTTCATCTTGTACTAGGAACTCGCGCATTGGGCCATCTTTATTTATTTATTATGAGTGCAAAATATTAATCTTATTATGATTAATCTCGAAAACAGTACCAATAGAATGGTTGATGACTTGACAATCGCCAGCAAACTCCTGCAAAGAAGTCGAAGATCAAAAGAATTCCGGTGGTTGACTCTCCAATGATTAAGTTAGTAAAAATGAAGAGTATTAGGTGAAATTGAGTTGGATGGAATTACTTACCTAACTCGTAGGTAGCTCCTCTACAAGTGAGCTCGTGTTACCGTTGAGACTCTTTAGTTGTCTTTTGAATAGGGCGGCAAGGAATGTGCGAGGGTGGCTGAACAATATTAGGGGCCTAAAGTAATGACGGGCAATGTGAATTTTTTATTTTCTTAATAATAATTTAATTTTTTAATTTAAAATCTATTATTTTTACTTTTTGATGAGATTCAAAATTGCTAATGATTTTTTTATCCAAATTTTGCTAATATATTTTTTTGATTAATACTATGACTTTTGATCATAAATATTTATAGGAATAAAATTAATTTCTTCATTAATATTTTTATGTTCTTTTTATTTGTTTTATATGTTCTTTATCGAAATTATGGTATTAGATGATTGACTTTATTATAAATAAATTTATTGTTATCTTTTTTTTGGATTATTTTACTATCTTTGAATTTTACTTATTTATCTATGCAACTTTTACTTAAATTTTGTTATATTTTATCCGTTATGAATAAGAACTTTATCAAAATATTTTTTTTAATGAAAGTAAATGTTTTAACTGGTGTTTTACATTCAAATGAGAAAAAAAAAACAAGTTTAAGAGAAGAGAATGTGTTTAGTTTGATTTTTTGTTTTACTAAAGAGAGATACTTATTATACTTCTTTTGATAGGAGAAAGAGATGGATTTTATCAGCACTTTTTTTTTTTGTTAATCTTTTTTTGTCCTTTAATAAATGTGATTGTGTGAGGTGGTCTGGACTTTTGGGCCCAAATTTTTAATTTTTTTGTTGATTTACTCTTTCAAAAATTATTTTGTTAGGCTATGTTGTAGTAAATTTTATTTTTTAACTTATATTATATTATTGATATTTAAATTTAGAGTCTTTTTCATACGTGGGACCTAAAGCTCACACTTTTATTTTTACACTATAGGGCGGGCTATGGGAATGTGGAACCTCCAACTCAAAATATCTGAAATAGGTTTGAGCTATTATGGTGGGATAAGAGCGAATAGACTGATATGTGGTTCGGATCTCAAAGGGTATTGCACTAGATCTGACTCACGTGTTTACCTCGTGTCTATGCCTATCACGTGTCTGGCCACTCACGTGCTCTCACGTACCCAGCCATTCACGTGATTACATCGGATTATTTCTCTCTCCATCGACTATCATTAAAGGTGAAATAATATTGGGATATAATTTGGAATTCTCATTTGATAATCTAATGTATTGTCATCATGTTATTACCAATAGGTCTCAACATTGAATACAATTTATTTTGCTAAACCAACGGCGATGATGTGTTAGATCTCTAAATTAAGTATATGTTGTATTATTGTTGTTAAAACTTTTGGATTTCTCTTCACCTTTCTATGTGCCTTTTCTCCTTCAAAGTTTGAATAGTGACTACTCACTGTAATAGTGATATACGGACATAGAGAAGAAAAAAACAAACGAATCGATGACGACTAGATGAAGGAGAATATGTTGCTAAACAGAGTGTTAGAAAACCAAGGAGAATCAAACGTTCATCAAAGTCTAAGTGGCTGAGGCAGTTTGTCCGCAACTAAACCATGTTCACCTTTTCCCAAGTCTTTTCCCTTGTAACTGGCCAAAAATGATTCCATCTGCCACGTACATTAAAAGTATAACAATATTCAAATGTATGCATAAACATTTCATCAATATTGTTTACTACAAGACATAAAAAAACATAGATATAAACTATAAATTCCCTTAGTTTACTCCGTTTTCCTCTCCTATATATTCCACCCTATGGCACACTTAACAATTCCCCCTCTTCCCAAGTTTTCGACCATACCACCTTCATCTCCAACTCATATCATGGATTCCATTTCTTCCTCTACAAGTGTTTCTCGGCCAACCCGAGAAAATTCTTCCAATGACTATCGCATTTATGCCTCATTTTGTGCAAGAGATCCAATGCCAAACATCAACATATCCAACTGGATAGAGTGTTACAACCCTTCAAACAACTCGTGGGATATAGTTACCATGATCCCGGGACTCATCGAAAACCATATCTTAAAGGGTTTTGCCATGGTATCGATAGGTGACTCCATTTATGTAATTGGAGGACGACTTTGTCATAAGGTGGTAGGACGTGACCCTGGTGACATTGTTGAAGTTGACCTAGAGGTCCTCCCATCTGTCCTTCGGTACAATGTTCGTACGGACTCATGGTCCAAATGTGCACCATTAGCCATACCCCGGTTTGATTTTGCATGCACTGTTTGTGACAATAGGATTTATGTAGCCGGAGGACAAAGCACATTGGCTAGCGCTCGGGGAATTTCATCGGCTGAGGTTTACGACACAGTGCTTGACGAGTGGAGACCATTGCCTAACATGAGCACATTGAGGTACAAATGTGTTGGTGTGACATGGCGAGGAAAAATCCACGTGGTAGGTGGGTTTGCTGAGAGAGGAGATAGCGATAGTCCCGGACCATACAACACGCAAAGGAGTTCAGCTGAGGTGTACGACACGCGACGTAACGCGTGGGATTTCATGGCAAGAATGTGGGAGTTAGATGTGCCACCTAATCAAATTGTGGCTATTGGAGGGAGGCTTTTTAGCTCAGGTGATTGTTTAAATGCATGGAAGGGCTATATTGAGTTATATGATGGGAAGCTCAATATGTGGGACATGGTTGATGGGTCCCATTTACACACTTTGTCAACTCCAATTTCCACGTCGGATAATTGGCCAACGATGCAAAGACTATACTTAACCATGGCTCCAATTGGGACCCGGTTATACTTCTTGGCGGGTTATCGAACGCCAGGAGAGATCTCAAGATTGAGGTCGGAAGTACACGTGTTTGACACGTCAGCAAACGGCGGCGGGTGGAGGAGCTTTGAGCCACTGGAAGAGGAAAGGGAGAAGGAGCTTTGTTGTCACTGTTGTGTCCTTGGACAAGTCTTGTAGGACTTACCGTCCTTGGCACTGTTTTAATTGCTTCAACATAAGCGGCCAAGGATTTACAGTTCCAAGAACTTATTAAGGGTAGGAGTTATAGATTGTTACAAGTCGGGGAAAAAAAAAAGGTAAAAAGAAAGTGCAAAGAGAAGGAGATAGATCTCCCACTACAAGAAAATTTATTTTTAGCCGCTAGATTTAAATTACAGTTAAAATTGTTGTCCTTGAATATATATGTTTAGTGACAAAAAAATATTATTATCACTGAAGGTATGATATTAAAATTATTTAGTGGCCATTGTTATTTGTCCCCACTAAAGATATATAATTAATGGTGAAAAAGTATTATAGTCACTGAAGATATAATAGTAAATCTAATTAGTGACAATTTAAATATTACAACAAAAATATATTACTAATTCATCATTAATTTCAAATATTTAGTGACAACAATTTAATTTTAGTCACTAATAATATAAAATATTAATGATAACATTTTATACTTGCAGCAAATATGCCTTGATTTTAGTCACAACTTTTATTTTTTTGCCATTGTATAAATTTTAGAAAATAAGTTATCACTGGTAAATGTAATATAAGCCCAAAAAAAAAAAAACTAAAATTCCTGCCCTTCATATAATACGAACGGCACCTTATTTTTCATATTTTCCCCAAATCATTTTTTGTTCAAGTTCTCTCTGAGCCTCACCTCTCTCTCTCTCTCTCTCTGTCTCTCGTTCTTGATCTTTGCGTTCGTGCGACGATGGATTCTACCAATCTGCCATGGACGACCAATCTGCCATGGACGACCAATCTGCCATTGATGACCTCTCTGCCACGGACAATCTCTCCTAAATCCATCTGCTAGGGCAGATCTGCAGGTATTCATCAACATTTATCCTGAGGCATTGACCGCTTCCCAATTCTTCTACAGCAGTTATCCGTCACACAACGGTCAATTCTTCCCAAATCTTCTTCAGCCTCTCTACCATTAATCTCTCTGCCATGGACGATCTGTGCTAATCCACCCGCTAGGGCGTAGATCTGTAAGTTTTAACACTAGACCTCTCTCCAACAAATCTGTGAGTTTTAGATTGTGGCCGGTAAGTTGCTTTTGAGAGAAATTTGTAGCTTGCATCTTCATATTATGCCATGAATTTGGCGAGTGGTAGCTTCATATTTATATGAATTTGCATTGAAAAATTATTTAGCTTGATCTTGTAATAGTTTAGGGTTTTTTCTTACTAGGAATTTTATGTGTGGTGAGTTAGTGGAAATTATTGTGGTGTTTGGTCAGTTG